AAAGAAATAAAAAACACATAAAAATGGAAATATAAAACATAAAAAATAACCAATCAGAAATGAAGAATACAATAACTGAAAAGAAGAATACATTACTGGGAATCAACAGTAGAGCAGATGAAGCAGAGAATCAAATCAGTGATTTGAAAATAAGAAAGCAGAAAATATCCATCAGAGCAGCAAAAAGAAAAAAGAATTTTAAAAAAGAGGATAGTATAAGGAGCCTCTGGGATTAATACAAATGTACCAACATTCATATTATGGGGTATGAGAAGGAGAAGAACTAGAGCAAAGAATTGAAAACCTATTTGAAAAAAAATTGGAAAACTTTCCTAACCTGATGAGGAAAATAGACATACAAGTCCAAGAAGCATAGAAAGACCAAACAAGGTTAACCCAAAAGAGGCCCACACCAAGGTACATCATAATTAAAATGCTAAAACTTAAAGACAAAGAGAGGATCTTAAAAAACAGCAAGAGAAAAGTTAGTTATTTACAAGAGAGTAACTCCCCTGTAAGGGAGTCTTATATCCCATAAGACTGTCAGCTGATTTCTCAACAGAAACTTTGCAGGTCAGAAGAAATTGGCAAGAAATAGTCAAGGTGATAAAAAGCAAGGACCTACCACCAAGATTAATCTACCCAGCAAAGCTATCATTTGCAATTGAAAGACAGATAAAGAGCCTCCCAAATAAGGAAAGGCTAAAGGAGTTCATCATTACCAAATCAATATTACAAAAAATGTCAGTCTCTTTTAAGAGAAAGAATGAAAAAAAGGATTAAAAATATGCAAATTAAAACCACAATGAGATATCACTTCACACAGATCAGAAAGGCCATCATTAACAAATCAACAAACAAGTGCTGATGGGGTTGTGGAGAAAAGGGAACCCTAGTGCACTGTTGGTGGGAATGCAGACTGGTGCAGCCACTGTGGAAAACAGTATGGAATTTCCTCAAAAAACTAAAGATGGAACTGCCTTTTGATCCAGCAATTCCACTGCTGGGATTATACCCTAAGAATCCTGAATCACCAATTCAAAAGAACGTTTGTACCCTAATGTTTACAGTAGCATTATTTACAATAGTCAATTGCTGGAAACAGCCCAAATGCTCATCAGTAAATGAGTGGATCAAAAAACTATGGTATATTTATACAATGGGATACTACGCAGCAGAAAGAAAGGACTCCTACCCTTCACAACAGCATCAAGGGAACTGCAGAGCATTATGCTAAGTGAAATAAGCCATTCAGAGAAAAACAAATACCATATTATCTCACCTATAAGTGGAACCTAATCAACAAAACAAATAAACGAGCAAAATAGAACCAGAGACATGGAAAATAAAGAAAAGACTAACAGAGACCAGAAAGGAGTGGGGAGGGGGATAACGAGGGAAAGAAGGGGAAAGGGCAAGTCAAGGAACATGAATAGAGGACTCAAGGGCACGGACAATAGGGTGGGGACTGACTGTGGGGGCCAGGGGGAGGGGCAGAGGAGAGCAACAGGAAAAAAGGCTGGGCAACTGTAGCTGAACAACAATAAAAAAATAAAACAAATTAGAAATGAATAATAAAATGGCAATAAACACATATCTATCAATGATTACTTTAAATGCAAATGGATTAAATGCTCTAATCAAAAGACATACGAAGTTTGACTGGATAACAAAACAACACCCATACATATGCTGTTTATAAGAGACTCACTGCAGATGGAAAGACAGACACAGACTGAAAGTAAAGAGATAGAAAAAGATATTTCGTGAAAATAGAAATTTTTTTAAAAAGCTTGGGTAGCAATACTTATATCAGACAAAATTGACTTTAAAGCAAAGGCTGTAACAAGAGAAAACGAAGGACCCAGAAATTCCACTTCTGGGTGTTTATCCAAAGAAACCCAAAACACTAAATTGAAAAGACATATATACACCCATATATTCATTGCAGCATTATTTACAATAGCCAAGATATGGAAGCAACCTAAGTGTCCATCAATGAATGGATAAAGAAATGGTACATATAAACAATAGAATATGATCCAGACATTTAAAAAAAAAAGTGAAATCTTGCCATCTGCAGCAACATGGATGGACCGAGAGGGTATTGTGCTGAGTGAAATAAGTCAGGCAGAAAATACCACATGATTTCATTATATGTGGAATCTAAAAGGCAAAATAAACAAGCAGATTCAGAGAACATTTTGATACAGAGAACACTTTGATACAGAGAACATCTTGACAGTTACCAGATGGAAGAGGGGTCGAAGGGAATAGGTGAAAGAGGTGAAGGGATTGAGAAGCACAAATTGGTAGTTACAGAATAGTCATGGGTATGTAAAGTGTAGCATAGGGAATACAGTCAACAATAAAGCAATAACTATGTATGGTGTTAGATGGATACTAGATTTATCATGGTGATCACTTTGTAGGTTACGTAAATGTCTAATCACTGGGTTGTACACCTGAAACTAATATAATATTGTATGTCAACTATAATTGAAAAATAAATATTATTATTTTAAAATTATCTTTTATTACTCGTTATTGCTAGTATACAGAAAGGCTGCCTTATTGCTTGGTTTCTTTTTTTAAAGATGAATTTCCAACATTGTAAGATTGAGAGCTTGAATTTGATATGTCAACAGGCACTCGGTAAATTAGATATTCAGGGCTGACATTCCGTGGGACACAAGCCCACGGCTGTACTGGTTACTAAAATATGGAAATGTTTCCACAGTGGACCCCTCTTGTTTCCCTTTGGCTCCCTGGCCATTCTGGACTTTCCCTCTGGACAGACACAGGCCTCCCCAAGTTCCAGACATCTCATAATAATGAGGTTTAATATCTTTTCTTATGTTTACAAGGTATTCATGTAGCATCTTCTATATAAGTAATTTTTTGTCTTTGCCAAAATTTTTTCTATTGGAATTTTTTAAATTAATTTGCAGGCATTAATTATATATTTTTGATGTTCTTCTGTTGGTTTTATGTACTGCAATACTGTTTCACTCTTTTTGGTACCTCTACATCCAGCACATCTGGGGCCTTCAGCCCTGTTCCACCGGGAAGGCAGTGTCTGTGGTGATTGTTCCATTCCCATCCATGTGACTTATTAAATATTTTGAATGCCGCCTCTTATGCTCACATACCAATGCTAACATAAACACCAAGGGTAAATTATTATCCAAGTGGTTTCTTACCCCGGGGCACAGAGAGCTCAGAAGGAGATGAAGAGCTCTGGGGTTCAAGGAGGGAGCAGGAGACCCGAGCTGTAACGAAGGAGGCTCTAGCTAGCACCTGCCTCTGACCATTCCTGCCGAAATCCTCGCAGCTTCACCAAGTCTACTCCTCCACTTGGGGCTCCCACAGGCACCTCAAACACACACGTTTCTGACTGAACACATCCTTTTAAATGCAAAATATGCTCTCCTCCTGACTCCCCAAATCCTGAAATGGTGTCTCCAACCATGTCCTCCCCTAGAGTAGGAAAGTCAGAATCATCCCAGACTCTGCCTTAGCCTCCTTTCCTCTCTATTGTTGCTTACCAAGATCTGTCATTTCCAGGCCATAAAAAAATCCCTTGAATACACCCTTTTCCCCAATCCTGATTACCACTGTCTCCTAAATTTTTTAACAGCTTCCCAGCCTGTCTCTTGGCCTCCAGCCTCTTTTGCCTCTCCAGCCCTTCCCCAGCACTGCTACCGGCTTTAGCAGTCCCGCCTGGCCCATTAGCCTACCCTGTTTCCTCATCTGCAGAAGGGAGTGCAGAGGAGCCATCTGCCTTGGCAGGGAGGAGGCTTTTATCACTGACACTGCTTAGAATGGAGCCAATATAAAACAGACTGACTTTGAGTTGGTTTTATTGTTGCGCTGAAGTTTCCTACAGGCAATTCATTCCTTTTGCCTGCACCTGGCCAACTGTTCCCACCCCCATTCTTGTTGGTATGCTACTGGAGATAACGTGATTTGTCTCCTAGAGCTGCCATGAAGGTCAAACAGAACAATGCTAAGAACTTAGTCCAGGCCTCTGCACATGGTAAGCACTTAGTTAATGTTAGCAATGATTAGTAATAACATTATTTTTGGTTCCTATCCCCTATATGATTCCTGTTTGGGCAAGCAAAGTCTTTCTGGCCTTAGATACTCCCATCCACTCTCCTGAACCCTATACTCTAGTGAAACTGTTTATTCTGCCTTCACCAAACCAAGTTCTTCCATGTTCCCATGCCTTTGCAAATGCCCTTTACTCTGCCTAGATGTCATCTCTCTTCCCTATAGATTCATCATTTCAGATCCAGCTCAGAGTCACGTTTTCTGTAAAGCCTTCCTCAAATTATCCAGACATAAATCCCTCTTCCGTCTTGTGAGCCCATGGCTCTCCGCTCATATCTCCTCTGCGAGGCCTGCCTGGATGGAGCTCCTGGACGCGGGAGTCTGCAAGTGCTCGTCTCTGTGATCAGCTTTGTATCCACAGTCACTAAAACTGGTGAGCCCACATTACCAGCTCGTTTTGTTTTACTGTAATGAATGAATGAATGGGAAAGGTTTTTACTTCATCCTAGACCTAGCAAAAAGTTTGGGTAGTTACAGTTTTTGTTATTTTATGTAACCTGGTATTAAACTCTTCTTTCCATACCCCAAGAACAATATTCCCAAATACTAGCGTACCTGTCTTCCTAAGGAAATGGGCTCGGTAACTAAAGGAAAGTCCTTTTAAAAGCAGAAAAAAATGATAAGCAGGTCAACTTTGTCTTCGCAGCTGACCCTGAGAGGGCGCTGTTCCCAAATCAAACCTCCAGAGGACGGGGCTGAAATACCAGCGTTCCCACAGGATTCAGCATCCTTCGCTTCTCAGGCAGCGGACGCAGGTCCCCAGCGGAGCATCTGCCCACAAACATGGCTGCGCCCTGCTCAGCTTCTCCTCGCAGGGACTGGCCGGCCGGGCTGGCCTTGCCAGTACTCGGGGACTTCCTCCAGCAGTCCGCTTCCTGCACCGCTGGCATTTAAACCCATGCCGGGGGCTGCGGGCTTCGGATGCGGATGCTGAGCTGTCCGCCGGCTGGGCAAGGCCGTGGCATCTCCTGAGCCACCCGGCTGGGCTGGAGCCGAGCTGAAGCATCCCCTAACTGTAGCTGGGTCAGAGCAGGGGTGTTCTGGGGAGCAGATCGCAGACCCCAGCATCTGGCAGTTTAATTACAGGTTTGACTTTAATTTCCAAGATCGCAACCTTCCTGCCCAGCCCCGATATTTTTCCTCCCTCCGGCTGTGGTTACTGGATGAGCAGGCGCTGGGCTTGGTCGCAGGAGCTTGAGAAGAGCTCATTCTCCGCCCCACGACGTTGCTTCAGGGACCTCCGAGCCGCGAGCTCCAGTCATGGTGCGGCTGAGCCCAGAGCGCCGGTGAGTGAGGCGGCAGCGCGGTTCTGAGTCCAGCGGGCACGCCCTGAGGGGCATCTTTCCCGGGGAGCCAAGGGCGCCAGGGCACAGGGCTTCGCGCCCTCCTGCCGGGGCTGCGTGCGCGCTGGGGGTGAGCAGCAGCCGCGATGTTCAGCTGGCTGGGTTCCGACGACCGCAGGAGGAAGGACCCTGAGGTCTTCCAGACTGTGAGCGAGGGGCTCAAAAAACTCTACAAGAGCAAGCTTCTACCTCTGGAAGAACATTACCGTTTCCACGAGTTTCACTCGCCCGCCCTGGAAGATGCCGATTTCGACAACAAGCCTATGGTCTTGCTGGTGGGCCAGTACTCCACTGGGAAGACCACTTTCATCAGGTGAGCCAACCCAGGGCCCGGGCAACCCCACCCTGCCGCCCAGTGCTTATGCCTCCCCGTTCACTCCTGGTGCCTCCTCCAGACTGGGTACGCTCTTCCTTTGAGGGCTCTGAAGAAATTTTCCGTGCACCCGTGTCCAAAGCTTACCCCACTATTTCACTGGTGGTTCCTCGCTCCATCCTACCCAGTGCCTCTCCACTGTCCTTAGAGCCTTGGTTCAGGTGGTCAGTTTGGAGTGTCAAAATTCAGAGCCATCCTATTATTGTTCCCATTTTATGGATGGTGAAACCAAGGCCTAGGAGGCACAAGTGAGAAATTCCCAGGTCCCAAGAGTACCTTATGCTTGTGGGGGTGTCTTATACCCTCACTTTTAAGGGACATGCCCTTTATGTCCATTTCCACCTCCCTTGCCTTTTAAAGCCTTCAACCATTCACATGGGGGCTTTAGAGTTACAGCTGAAGAGGTGGGCCAGGGCCCCTGCAACACCCCCACCCCCACGCCTGGTAGTGTGACTTGCCCTTCTTTTATCATTTTCCTTCTCTGAGCAGAGCTCCTACATATATCTCTTGGACACTGGACAGAAGCAGTCTCCAGAAACAAAATGTTTTTTATCTTTTTCCCTTGTGTGATCTTACTGGCTAAGTAATAATATTAAAGTTCTTTCAGAGGTAGACAGAGCATTGATGATTGTCTCATCCAGCCCCTTGATTTGACAGGTGAGATAACCGAGGCATAGAGAGGTTAAGCGCATTGTCCAGTCATCTCGCTGGGTGGGAGGCCAACTCAGGATGCTGGTCCTAGATGCATGGGAGGAGATGCTTGGCTACAGGCCTGTAACTTTGAAGGTGAGTCATCCGGTCCCATGAGTTACAGAATCCTTGGGCCGGAGGGATCTTCAAGAAGTCAACTTGTCCACCCTGCATTCAGAGAGGCCCACATATTGTCCACTAGAGTGAAGAGAATCCTTATCTTTAGAAGACAGGCTTCTCTCCAGTCCTCAGTCCACACAACCTTCAAGGCCAGCCCATTTTCCTTGGCCTCATTTACAGCCATCGTCAAGCTGTTGAGGCTGCCTGTGGTCCTCTGTGTTGAGAATCAGGCTCCTACAGTGTAGTGTTGGGTTCCATGGCCCAAAAAAGTCAACGGTGTTCATCTCTTGCAGGATTTAAAACAGGGGTGCTCCTGTTTCCATTCCTTGACTGAGTACCTGCAACACTTAGAGCACTATTGTTTGTTTGGCAAGAAAAGCAGCAAAGTTGGCAGTCTGGTTACTGGTTTTCTAGATACAAATTTTCTCTTAATGCCAAGCTTATAACACAAGCCTTCTAGAAGTGGGGCATGATCCACGCTAACATGTTGTGTCTGAACAGAAGACCAAATCAGGTTTGCCCTTGGATGGATAGCTTTGGCCTCAGCAGCTTGGAGAGGCTGAGTGATTTCTGAAGAAGTTTGGTGCCCAGGTGGGGGAAGGGAAGAGGTAGATGGGCTAGTTGGCTTTTGGATCTCCTATATTGTTGGAACTGCAAGAGCTCTTAGGTATGAATCTCACCCATTGCGTCTTAACTTTTTAAAAGGTCAGTTCCTCCTTTGAAAATCTGATGAAAGCTATGGACCTACTAATGCACATAATCCCAAATTTATACATAATATCATGGGCCCAAGGACCACCTTGGACTTTAGGGTGAGAAGTCGGATCTAATCCATCTCCTTTATTTTATTAAACACCCGTTGCCGCCACAGACACTCTAGATATCCCTGGGTTCTGTGCAAAGTCTCATCGTAGTCTGTATCCTCTGCCTGGCCTGGTTTATGCCCCACAGGAAGTCCGGGCCCTTTACAGATGGCTCCTGCCCTTACATAGCCTTCCCTGGCCCTCTGGACACACCTTGGTAATTTAGAGCATCTCCTTCCTATAACACCAGCCCTTAGAGCTGTGCCTTTGCTCCTGGGGGCCTCACCTGCGGTCTCAGCGACAGGAGGTTCCTGGTATTGGTTTGCCAAATGGGAGGGAAGTGGGGAAAAGTAGGTGTCCCTGCGGGGCAGACTATCTGAGCAACAGACCGGTTTAAGCGCCTCTTGTCTGAGACTCTCTCCTAGCTTTGTCTGAGTCATGCTGGCTGTTAACTGGGTCTACGAAAGTGGCAGGGTCGAGTTGCCACTGATTATTTGTTATCTGAGGGAAACAGGAAGGCTGGGAGAGGCAGATCCCTCCTCTTTCTTATCCTCAGAGTGCAAGAGTTCTCTCTCCCCACTCATGGCAGTAACTGAATGTAGCTCCTGCACCAAGAGCGGTCTCTCTCTGAGGGAGAGTGCGCCAGCAGGGTGGGAGGGCTTGCAGCACAGGGAAGCTCTCCCAAACCAAATTACATATTTTCCTTCCTTCTCATTAAATCCACTGAACAGTTATTTTCTCTAAACTGGAAAATGCAGAGAAGAATGAATTGGAGGAAGAAGGAAAAATAATCACCCACATAGAAGGAGGAAAAATAATCCCGCAACACAAGGAGAACCATTTTAAATAGCATTCGCATCTATTATAAAACTATATATTTCCAATATTTTTAGCTATTGTATCACACAGCTAAGATCACATCAGAATGTAATTTTGTATGCTGATTTATTTCACTTACAGCATGAGCACTCCTCATGTAAATTTAAAAAATCTCTGTAAGCACTATTTTTAGGAGACTTGTGGCATTTTGCGGTATGTGTATGCAATTATTCATTTGACCAGTCTACTTCTTTTGAATATTTTAAGTTGTTTCTAATTTTTCTGCTAGTGTAGAATCATTCTGAATATCTCTGTGCATAATATTTTTCCACAGACTGACTGTGTTCTCAGAGATTCCCAGGAGCAAAATCACTGGGCCAAAGGTTATACAGAGTTGTTTCTGTTTATTTACTTATTTTACTTTTCAATTTTAGTATTCAGAGTCATATTTCTGAGTTGCTTTGCATGAGGGTAAGTTAGTACCACACTCCCTTCCAGGGCTCCGCTGGAGTAGCTAGGTCGTGCCGGGCGTAGATCTCAGGCTGCCTTCTCCGCTCCGCCCTCCCCCATCCCTGCTTCTTGCCTTAAGCGCCATGGTTGTCCCCTCCGTCCCTGGCCTGAACCTGTGAGGGACCTTTCTCTCAGGAACAAAGACTCGCCTCTTCCTTCGCCGGCCCTTGGCCTTGGCCTCGGCCCCTAGAGCGCCGCCCACTTTCACTTACATGCACTTGCCGCAAGGTCTATTTCTTTTCTCAGGAAGAACACACAGAAAAGGACATTCTTCTAATAACTAATTAATGTGCTATGATCTCTGCCTGAAATAACTTCCCTGGCCTAAGGCCCGGCAACCCAGAGTAATAAAACAAACGATAAATGGGCCTGGTGGCCGCTCCCTCCAACACAGGCTGCCTCTTCGGAGCACAGTAGCTCTGTGTCCCTCCGGCCCCGGCAGCCTCTGCCCCAGCCTCTGCTCTGTTTCTCCCTTCACTCTTCCTCTTGCTGGCATGCAGCCTCCGGTCCCTCCTCCCTGGCACCGTTTGGCCCCCTGGTCCCAGAGGTGAATAGCCAGCTGCGCCCGGGGCTGAGGGAGGCCCGGTGCTCTCCTGAGCCGTAAGGTGGGCCAAGCAGGGGACTGGGGTCGGGTCTCAGGCCTGGGCTGCTGGAGCCAAGCTGCCTCCCTCTCTGCACAGGGAGGTCTGAGCTCATCTCAAGGGTCCCATGGCCCTTGTATAGCATGACATGGACACTGAAGAATGAGCACATAGTGGGGGCTGCTACTCAGCTGACCCTCTCAACCTCCGCCACTTCTTCGGGGGATGTTTGAGTGCTCCCCAAAGGTGACTCAGCATTTACCTGTGGCCGCTCCATCTCCCATCACCGCCGCCCAGGCCTCACCCTGTTCATTATAGCATCACCATCCATCTCAGGATGGCATCCTTTTCCTGTCAGCGTTCTCATTTGCTGGTCCCTAAGTGAGTCTGGGTCCACCTGCTGCCTTGAAAGTCAAGGGCATGGAGGTCATCAGGAGGAGCGTTGACTGGGGGGGAGCGGGACCTCTGGAGAAAGGGCTCCCTCTCATCACCATTGACAGGAGACCGGGCCGTGGACAGAGCGCGGCCTGTGCAGCGGAATCCGGGCTCCAGCAGATCCTAACCAAGAGACCTCACTAGCAAGATCTAACCCTTCTGAACCTCAGTTTGCTTATCTCTATCATGTGAACCGTAACGGCAGCCTCCGAGGGTCACTCTCAGGGTTAGCAGGGGAAAGAACCACTGTCGCTTCAGCTCTGTTCCAGGCGCTCTGCTTGGGGCTTTATCATTTCTTCACCTCTTTCTAGCCAATTCCCTAAGCAGAGGCTTCAGGGCTGGACCTCAGGAGGAGGGGGAAGCCCCTGTCCACTGCCCACAGTTGGGATGCATGGGGAGGGGAAGTGTGTGCAGGGAGGGCTGGAGGAGGAGCCTGGGCGGGCAGTGCTGGGGGGTGGACAGGCCAAGGAGGCTTCAGCATGCGGCCACTGGTCTCCTTCGTGCTGGGGTCCCCTCATCCCGTGGCAGAGGCTGCTATGCCGCAGGGACAGTAGGGGCTGACTCAGACCTCAACTCTGCCATTGGGAGTCTCCCACCTCCTCCCTCACTTTGTGTCTCCCTAAAACCCTGCAAGGCTGACAGGGCAAGTATATTATTGTGTGAACTCTGTTTTAAAGCTGAAGTACCCAAGGCTTTGAGAGACCAAAGATATAACGCGAATACCTACAATACACGGTAGAAAGTATTATGTGCCTTTAGAGTCTAGTAAAGATATGCAGACTAAGAGCTTGGCCATTCTCAGGGAAGGGTGTCAGGTTTGGGATGACAGAATGAATTAGTTTAGGCTTCACCGAGGAGGCACCGAGCCTGGATTTGGAGACTGTGTAGAAATGCACTGAGTACTTACAGACAACAACGAGGTGTTTGTTTTCTCTAATTATGGTCTCTGCCAATATGAGCAAATGTCTGGTGTAGCCTTTGTTTTTCCCAAACTCATGGATGTCATATCAAAACTTTCATGCTGTCCCTTTGGCTATTATAGTTAGAAACCAAGTGTTATCCCCATTTTATAAACCAGGGAAACTGAGCCAGGGGACTATTGGGCGACATGTCCAAGGTCATGTCTGTGATGGAAGAGCGCTCATGAAGGTGCATTGCCCGGCTGAGCCAGCCCACGGCAGCACCGGCCCCTCCGTGCCTGCCCTGAGCGCTGACCCTGTGGCAGCCTGAGGGGGCCCTGCTGCTGCGCAGAAGGGAGCAGGCGGAGTTAGGGTTCCTGGCTGCACACCTTACCCTGGGTGCTTAGGTCACCGAGTGAAGCTGACCACATGCTCAGATTGCCAAGCAAGTGGGACACACACACACAGGCATGCATACAAAATGAGGAAAACCTCATGAAATAGTTTACTGAAGAAAACATGCAGGAAAAAAATCACAATTGTGTCGGACTTTCTTACACCTATTTTACAGTTTTAGTATTTACTTATTTTAGCTCTTAAAGCTGCTAAGTATTTTCATTCGGCCATGATCGTGGGCACCCTATATCTCAATTTACTCCACTGCAAAACTGCAGTAATGCTGCCATCCCACAGCGCTTGCAGGACCGACTCGGTGGAATAATTTGGGTAGAGGTCCCAGAACAGCACCTGCCACTCAGCGGTCCCTCCTTATCCTTGTGTGTCCTCATCTCAGCCGTTCCTACCCAGGCTTGAATGAACTTTCCTTTGTTTCTGCCGCTGTGGGAACAGTTTCGCCTGGCAACAGAGGCGATCTGTATCACTTCCCATAGAGAGGCCGTGATGAGATCCGTCAATAGGTTGTCCTTTCTGGACACAGTGGCAGCTTTGTTAAGGGGGCACTCGGTACTGCAAGCCATACCCAAATGTCCCTGAGAATTTTCCCAGTTTACCCAGCTCCAGTTCTCTGTGTGGCCCCACTGTGTCCTGGGTGTGCTGGTGGCTTTACTGGACTCTCTGTTTCTCCAGGCCCATGTGCGGTCAGCAAGTTTGGGATCACATGGGTTTAGCCACGGGGCAGGACAGCAGGCGCAGCCTCCGGGCCGTTGCTCAAGCAGACTCAGGCCGCGGCTCCAGAACATCCCGGGAAGTGGCTCTGTTATGCTGGGAAGCGGCACTGTTTCTTTGATCATCTGCTAGCACAGCACATCTCTCAGGGATGGAATCTGAGACGGCTGGGTCAGCGGGATACTTCATCACTGCGCTCTGGCCCTGTTCAGGCTGCCTCAGAATCGCTTCTCCCCACTTCTCTCCCTGTCAGCCTCCCCTCAAGCCTTTGATCCTAACCACCTCCCACGCCCCGTCTCAGAATCACACTTGCCACCCACCCCCCCAGGGTCCCGCTTAGGGCTTCTCTGCACATGCTCACTGGGACAGGTGTTCCGGGCACACAGACGGAATAGATGGGCTTTCCCAGGCATGGTGTGGATTCTCATGAAACGTCTTCCCAGGGGAATCCGGCTTTACTACTTTTAAGTCCCAAGAATGTCCTTTCAGAGCCAGTGGGCCTGGGGCCTGCCCTGTCACACGATAGCAACAACTTTCGCATACCATACCCCACTCACGGAGGCCTCGCCGTGAACCCCGAGGGCAGCGGCGTGCAGAGATGAGTTCACTGCTGGGTTTGTGGGTGTCAGAGCCTCATCCTTCCCCCAAGGCCCCAACCCTAGACAGCCTCCAGCCAAACCTCCTTCCCCTGTGGCCTTCTTGTCCCATTCCTCATCCTAGTCCCACATGGGGCTCAGCCTTTTTACATTTCCTGGTCAAGGGGAGACCTAAGGCAGGAAAGGACACAGTAAATGTTAGGAGCATGAATTCTCAACTCCAAGCCCCAGGTTCAAATGCTAGCTCAGCTGTATACTGACTCCATAACCTGAGGCAAATTATCTAACTGCTGTCTCCCCCTCTTTAAAACGGGATGCTAAGCGCGATGCCAGGTGCTGGTTTCAGTGCGGCAGGGCTGTGTCTAGAGTAATCCTCAGACACCCTATGAGGTGGGTTTTCTTATCAGGACTTATTAGATGATAAGGATCATCATACTCCCCTCCGAGTAGAAAGAAAGATGAAATGAGCTAATCCATAGAAAATCTAGAACAGTGCCTGGTGCTTCATAAATTGGAATTTTTATGCCCCCACATTATAGAGAAAGGTACTGAGGTTCACAGAGGCCCAGGACCCCCTGAAGAGCACATCCCTCATGGTTAAAGAAAGCAGGTCTGCTGACTGCGGGCTGCTAAGGTTCCCAGCCTCTCCCGGGGGCCCTGAAGGAGAAAGCCATTGAGGAAGCAGGAAATGCTGTCCAAGTGGACGGTTGTTGTGATATAGCCTCATCCATAGCCCGAGTGCCAGATTTCAGTATGGTCCTCTCATGAAGGAAATCCTGCCTTCACACCCAGGCTGTGGGGCCGGGCTCCTGGAGGGAGATGAAGGGCTTCCCGAGGCAATGTGAAACCCTCCGTGTGTGGCAGGGGTGGCCTCCTGGGGCAGCAGCTTCTCTCCTGGCTCCCTGGGGAGGACCCATAGCAACCTGACTTAAACTGCCTGAACCACAGAGTAAACCAGCAGCTCAGAGGCACAAGCAGGCTGTCCACAGGCCAGAAGAAACCCCAGCGAGTCTCCCTGGCCACCACCCTGTGGACAGAGCAGGACCACTGCCCCAGGCCCACCTCAGGGAGGGACAGGATGGGCGGAGAACTTGAGCTCTGGAGACATGGCCCCTGGTCCCGACTCCGCCATGACCTCCTTGACCAGCTCTCTCTGGTGGTGATTTCCTCAAGGTAGAAGGCAAAGAGCAAAGGATTTGGCGTTAGGCTGATATAGGTCTGAGATTCAACTCCACTATCAGCTGTTTAGGAGAAAGTCACATACCCCTTCTAAGCCTCAGTTTCTCCAATACCTACCCGAAGGGCTGCTATGAGACCCAAAGGAGATAATGTTCCCAAAACGACCAGTATAATGCCTGGAAATGCTATTGAGTGTCAGTGATGTTATCAGTAAAACAAGAGGGTTGTCAACCCTGGCTGCACATTAGGATCAACTAGGCAGCTCCTAAAAAGGACCAATGTCCAGGGCCCCAGCTCGGAGTGAATGGGTCCGAACCTCCGGTGGGGTGGGGAGGCGGCACAGCCCAGGCGCCATTAGGTAGAGCTCCACAATAGCTCTGCCTAGCAGCTGGGGCTGAGGGCCACTGATCCAGAAGGTCTCCAGGTTCCCTCCCCAGCTGACAGTCTCTGATTTGGCCTCTCTTCTCCTTACTTTTCCCTCTGAGCATGAACGCAGGCCTTCAAATGCTAGGAGGTTCTCAGCACACAGCCAGGGCTCACCCCATGGGTCTGTGTTTTTTGGTCACTACATTCCTTAGCTCCTCGTCCATCATGGTCTTGGAAGGCGCCCCTGGGACTCTCCTCTGGCCATCCCCAACCCAAAGCAGTTCTGGGCTCCTCCCCTGAATTCAGACTCATGCTATTAGGGCTCAAAGCTGGTCTGACCTCCTTCTGAAGGGCTTGGTTGTCCTTACAAGCTGTTCTCTTCGTTCTCTGGCTTGTCATATGACTTAACCCCTGACTTCTAAAGGGAGTGATGCTGAAGGGAGATGGCCTTGGGCTCTCACTGCTCAGGCCGGGAGAAGAGCAAAGAAAGGGACCTGCCACCTAGAGAGTGGGCCAGAAATCTAGGAGGGGATCTACTTTTCATAATGTACCTCTCGCGCTGGTTGTATTTTTGTCTCACGTATGAGCTATTTTTATATTAAAGGTATTTTTATGCTAACCAGAGAAATTAATAATGACTTGTGGAAAGCTAGCATAATCCACAGATGGTCTCATTCTAGCCATGCCTTTGCGCGGGTCCTTCAGCAGGTTACCTGCAGTTGTGAAGTCTGCAATACTCTGTGTAGCAGTTTCAACCCGTGCTCTAGCTCTGAGCCCAAACCTTGCTTTGTTTTTTTCCTACTGATTTAGCAAGGAGGAAAGATAAGAACCAAGAAGAACAGATTAGGCGTTTTAAGTTCAGCTGCAATCCCACCTCCTCCACAGCATCTTTGCAGTCGTCTAGCCGCGAAATCTCCTGGCTCTGGATCCGGCCTTCTGCCATGACTCACGTCGTCCCCTGCCTCGTGGTAGACACACAGTGTTGATCTACCAGCAGCGCCCCTGCCTCACGACTGTGCTTCCTTCCGCCAGGTACCTGCTGGAGCAGGATTTCCCTGGCATGAGGATTGGGCCCGAGCCGACCACCGACTCCTTCATTGCGGTGATGCAGGGCGAGGTGGAGGGGATCATCCCCGGGAACGCCCTGGTGGTGGATCCAAAGAAACCCTTCCGGAAGCTCAACGCCTTTGGCAATGCCTTCTTGAACAGGTGAGTGCAGAGGAAACACAGGCCCTGACTGTCCTCTTTTCTTCTCAGAGTATGAGAAGGTAAAGGACAGGGTCTTAGGAGGATCACTGCCTTTTCCATACCTAGAGTCTCTCTTGATTGTCCCTCACTTGCTGGGAATGTAACTGAATCCATCCCCATAGATTAGGGGTGCGGGGGCTGCAAACACTAGGCTGAGTCCTCCTGACCAAAGAGCAGGGGAAGGCGTGGCAAGTGGAATCACATTCCCCCGATCGGCACCTCCTGCCAATAAAAGTGAAGAACATTCCCAGCCTTTGCCTGTACTACAGAGGGGATTTGCATCCAGCTGGAATGGGGCAGAGGAAGGTTTTTCTTTGTTCCTGGACATTGTTTTGCATACCTAGGTTCTGCCTACTTGCATACCTAGGTGCAAGTACCAAACGGTAACAAACTTTGGTGGTAAGAACCCTGGACTTAAGATGGAAGCCCTGAGTTTGAGCACTGACTTTCCTATGAAACTCACTGAGTGGCCTTGGACAGGTCACTTCCCCTCCTCTGAGACAAGTAAGAGCCTGCAGACAGCAGGGTCATTGTAATGATTTGAATGAAGAAAGCTCTAGGGAATGCTTGGTAGGCTGATCCAGACTTCCTGCAATTGTTCCATTTAACTAAAATACATCCTGATTACACTTTTTCTATAAAACCACACCCCCTTCTTGCATGAGTATAGCATTAAAAAAATTTTTTAACTACTTTCTCTAATTGGAGATATTTACAGTAAAGGAAAAGACCATGAGCTTTGGCTTCAGACAGACCTGGGTTCAAATCCTAGCAAATAGCACCATGGATATCAGAAAGATTATTTCTGTGTCTCACTTTTCCCATCTGTAAAATGGGATAACACTAATCTACTCCTCCAAGGCAAGAGCACTGATGCGGCCCGTGTGGATTCGACATGGGTGTTCAGTGATGAGTGAATGACACTGAAAGGATTAAAAAAATAAAACATTCCAGGTATACAAAACTGTAAAAGAAATGCAGGCAGAGGGGAATGAGAGAATATGGCTTAGAGCAGAAACCCTGTGGCCAGAACTCAGAAGTTTTGTGCTTTTCTCCAGGTGCATTCAGCAGCTGAGACAGTGGATGTTTAGACGGGCCATGGCTGGGGATCCGCCAGGCACGTCCATTACAAGGACCACAGCTCAGCCAGCCTGTGTCACGTCCCTCATCAGCTCCCCACCCTTCTCTGTGGGAATCCCAAGTGCTCTCCAGTCACCTCAACCTCTTCCTCATTCGGCAGAGGCCTCACTTCCCCTTCTAGAGAAAATGGGAACCAATGTCCCTGGATTCCATCTAGTTGGTTTTTTAAAATCTGTCCATAAACAAGTTCACTTGCCTTTGCCCTCACGTCCCGCCACCAGGCTGCAGAGAGAGCTGTGGCTTCTCGTTTCCTCACAAGGTCTAACTCCTGTCTCACCCTGTACTTCACCCGCCCTTGGCTCCTCCCCTCCACACGGAAATACCTCCTCTAGAAAACCCTACAGCAGGTCCTACTAACTTTCACCCCCTCTCTCTCTTTCTTTCCAAAGCCAAGCTTCTTGGCTTCACCTCCCTTGTGTCTTCCTGTCCCCCAGCCTGTGGGATGTGGCTTCACCCTATCGCAGCTTCTTGTGTGAAGGTCCCTGTGACCTCTTAGTGATCATAAGCACTGGGCTCCTTCCACCCTCCCCTTCCCCCACCGCTCCTCCTGCCTCCCTGGCCAGGCCCTCCCCAGTCTGCTCTGTGGCCCCTTTTTCTCTGGCTGTTAACACCAGGTGGTCCATCATCATCACCCTGCCCGTCTTACTCCATGTGCTTGACCTGGGTTTTGCCTCATCCACGACCCTGGCCCCAAACACCAGCCTCATGCACATGACAACCAGGTCACCAAACAACAGAAACCCAGCTCAGCAAAATACGGGATGTATTTGAGAATCCTGGCGTGTGCCATGGAACCTAAGGAGCAGCGTGTGGCTGGGCCTCAGGCATAATGGGAACCATGGGCTTCGAGAGGACAGGGGCTATGTCACTTACTGTCCTACCCCCATTTTCTGGCACAGTGCCAGGCATGTAGCAAGCACCCCCTAAATATTTGTTGAACTAAATTGGATACACTGACAACCATCATATCTGATCATGTCACTCTTCTGCTTAAAGCATTCCAATGGTTTCTATTGCCCTCGGTAAAAAATCCAAATTTCTTGATGTATCTTTCAAGACCCTTGTGATCTGGCCCCCACCTCTTCCCTGTCTGGCCTCATCTTTGGCCACTCCAGCCTTCCTGTTCCCACCTCACTAATGTGTCCCCTGCCCTGACCCCCGAATGGTGGGTGCACTCTCTCCTTTCTGTGCTGCATTTGCACCTACTTGCACACCTAGGACCGCCATAACAAATTACCACTCGCTGGCTTAAAACTACAGGAAGGTCTTATCTCATAGTTCTGAAGGCCAGAGTCTGAAACCAAGATGTTTGTCAGGGCTGTGCTCCCTCAGAAGTTTCTAGAGGAGCATCCTCCCTCACTTCTTCTCTCTTCAGGTTACCGCAGCTGTTCCTTGCTAGCGGAGGCATAATTCCAACCTCTGCTTCCTTCTTTACATGGAGCCTTCCCTCTGTGCACGTCCCCGTCTCCACATGTCTCCTTTCTCATAATGTGTTGTTTTATAACGTTGTACACCTGAACTTTACATAATGCTATCGACCAATGTTACCCTAATAAACTTAATTTAAAAAAAGACACAGGTCATATTGGATCAGGGGCCCACCCTACTCTTGTATGATCTTAACTAATTACATCTACAAAGACCCTATTTCCAAATAAGGTCACATTCTGAGTCCCTGGGGGTTAGGACTTCAACAGATCTCTTTAGGGGACAAAATTCAACCCACAACACTGCTCTTTTACCATCACCTTTTATCTCAGTCTGAAATGCTGTCTTCTCTTCACTACCCATCCTCTCTCTCTCTCTCTCTCTCTCTCTCTCTCTCACACACACACACACACACGTGCCCACAAACACATGCATGCAGAGCGTGCTGCTTCCCGCCCGCACTCCTGTCTGCCTGGCAAATGCTGGTTATCTTTTGAAGTCTTAGTTCAAGTTCTGCCTCCTCTGTGAAGCCCTCCTTTTTCTGCATGTCCTACATCTCTGCCATTTCACATAATATACCCAAGAGAGAGTAAGACACCTTTTTAGCTATCACCAAAAATGACATATAAGAAAGAAGGCTTGAAGCGAGAAAGATCTAAGTTAGGTTTACCAATTTATATTTTGAGACTTCAGGATGTGGCACTAGACACGTTTCCTTGAATAAGGCTTGACCACTATCCTAATAGCAAAATACGATATTGGGATGGCCTTCGAGGCCCAAACAAAAGCCTCTAGGTGGTGTGACCCATTCATCAAGGCCAGAAAGCTGTCCCTGGAAGTCACCTCTCCACCTTGGATCTCCCTAAGCCTTCACCTGACCTTCCTCAGGGTGCTGGTCACATGCATGTTGCAGTTGGCCATGCACATGCCTCCTCCCTCTCCAGTCTGGGTTCCCTGGAATCAGGGCTGGAGGCCTGGACGTTGTGATGTCCCTGGCGGCAGTGGTTCACAGTGTAAGACCATAGCTGCCCAGGAGGACCCAGGGAGCTTCTTCAACATAGAGGCCCTGGGCCCATGGTTGGGACTAAGTCTGACCACCGCCTGGGCATCTGCATGGGAGGGCAGCCAGGCTTCCGAACCTCTGCCCCCACGGCAGGGAAGGCGTGCGGCTGAAACAAGGGTGCATGAGAGGCAACGAGAGGACAGGGCTCACTGCGGCTCCCTCTCACCCGCGCAGGTTCGTGTGCGCCCAGCTGCCCAACCCCGTGCTGGAGAGCATCAGCGTCATCGACACGCCAGGGATCCTCTCCGGGGAGAAGCAAAGGATCAGCCGAGGTAAGCAAGATGCCTGGTAGGCTTGGCCCTGGCTCCGTGCTGCCTTCTTTCTGGTACGTTCTCTCGCCACCATACCTGCCTAGAGGCCCCCAGGGCCTTGCGGTCCCTTGATGAGCCGGTGCTGCCTTGTGTGCTGTACAGAATCATCCTAGGCAGGGGTCAGTAGCTGACTTTGTGTCCACTGTAGCTCAGGAGACAGCTGGCCTCAGTCTCCTCCTCTGTAAAATGGAGACATTAGTATCTGCCTTACTTCCCCCATCAAGGTTATTCATTCTCCATGCCACGTCTATCGAGGGCCAGACCCTGGTTGCTTCTGCAGACCCTGCAGTCCCTGCCCCCAGGAGCTTGCAGCTCCACAGGGGAGGCAGATGCAATGCAGAGAACTTCAGCTCAACCACGTGAGGATGACAGCGTGCTCGCTCTGGGGCCCAGGCACTGGGGGCTGGTATGTGAAAGCACACTGAAAACTGTTCACTGCAGACAGATATGGCGTAATTGCTCACTAAAGGAGGTCACCAGACTGCCAGGGTTCAAAACCTGTCTCTGCCACTTCCTGGCAACATGAACTTGGGGAGGTTTCTTTGCTCTGGTTGGTTCATCTGTAAAATAGGAAGAAATAATTCTACCATATAGGTTGTTTGATGATTAAAAGAAATCATACAGATAAAAAAGCTTCTGCCTTGCACATAGCAGTGCCCAGTAAATATGAAGTGGTGTACATCGTCACCATCATCATCATCAGTTTTTACAGCCAGACTGATGCTTTTAAAAGCTAAAAACACCTGCCCCTGGCTCCTCACCCCAGCCTCTCCTGCCACAGCGCGCTGTGTGCCCTGGGTAGCCCCCAACCCTTTCTGCGCCCTGTGCTGCCTCTCTGGCAAGAAAAGCAGATGAAGCCACACCCACCCGATTCTGGAGCTGGGAGCTGGGCTAGAGCCAAATGAGCACTCGGAAGTCAGCATCCGGGAAGGAAAGGCTTTGGGCTGGCAAGAGTTCCCTGGGCTGGAACTCTCGCCTCCCCTCAGCTGACCTTAGGTGACTGACGGGCTGCTTCCCCGCTGCACAGCCACAGCTCCGTGCTCTACGGCCCAGCCAGGACGGAGACAAGGTGTGTTCTGCCGGTACCTATGCCACCGTGGCAGGAGGCTCAGAAGCCCCCTCCACCAGGGACGTGGCCTGCAAGGGCAAGCACCCACTCCCCACAGGCCCCTCAAGGAAACCCCATAGCCTCACAGGCGACAGGCCAGCGCCCAGTGGCTGTGTACTGATGAGTACTGCTGGCAAGACCTGGGTGCGGGCCCCGCTGTGGAACGGGGCTACTGTCCTGCCCTCCTGCGAGCTGCCTCGCTTTCTGCCCTGAAGAAAGCAGCTCGAAGGCATCAGACTCTGCAGTTTGGCGTCCTCCGTGCCTGTGTGAGCGGGCACGGCCAGCCCTGGCTGGGGGCAAAGCAGGGAGAGCCCCCGGGGTCAGCAGTCTGCTCACGGGCCCCATGACCCCCAGTCTGTCCTCAAAGGGAGACAGAGCCTGCCCTTCAGGGACCTTGTTGTGGACCAGGTTCCAGCAGGAAAACCCTGCCCCTCCCCCCATTTCACTGAGGAGGTCACTGTCTGGGAAGAAGAGGGGAAAGGAGGCCGCGAGTCAGGAGGAAGCTGTGTTAACAGTTCATGTAACTGGCAGCCCGTCTGTGAAAGTGGGATGTCAGCAGAAGTGCCGCTCTGGAAGGGGAGCCTAGGCCTGCGCTTCCTAACTCTGGGCTGTATGATGGTACAGCCGGGTAAGGGTGGGGACAGCTGATCAGTCTAAGCCATAGAACCCGCAGTCCTGGGAAGAGAGGGGCGTCTCCCGACTCTTCTGGTCTCTGTGCCCTTTGTAAATATCCTGGCATTCTGCTCGGGGCCCTGTGGAGGGGAAGCTTGGGTGGCTCTCAGTCTGGCTTCTAGTAAGTTCCCGAAACACTCCCTCCCTCCTCACCAGCCCCCACCCTCACCGCCACCCCCACAAGGATTCACCTGGGCTGATCCTGAGTGGAGGCCTAAAGGGGATTTACTGTTTCACACGGGCAGCCTGCATCTCCTCGAGAAAGGCTCAGGAGAGCCAGCCTGCTCAATCTGAGCTGCTGGCAGGAAGTGGACATGCACTTGCAAGGCCAGAGCAGCCTGGCCAGCGGGTCCTGGGTTCCCAGGACACCGGACTGCAAGTGCAGACATGGGGCTTTAGAACCTGTGTATGTCTCAACAGGTTGCATTTTCTCCCTGAGCCTGTGTGTTCCCATGTTAACAAGGGCTGATGATACCCATCAAATGACCTTGTGAGGTCTGTGGATGGTAATGGAAACGCAGACATCAGCTGGGCCTGGATCTCCGTGAGCTCCCTGCTTTCCCTTTCTCTGCCATCCAGGGCCACCCGCTCTGCCGCCCCAGGGCCCAGGCGGGGCAGCTCGACGCAGCAGCCCTGCTTCAGGAGCCCCTGCCTTCCCCAGCTCCCGTCCCAGGCTGGTCTTTTTCCGCTCCTCTACCTCCCTCTCCCCGCTTCATCTTTAGACCTCAGCGGCTTCCCTAGGCAAATTGGGTGCTCAGTTGTCTCCCTGCCCTTCCTGTCCATTCCCATCTAACACGACCAAGACCAAGCCCCACCTTTGGGAGGAGTGATGGCCTCTTGAGTGGCTGCCCAGGCCGGTTTGCTGTCTGCTCTCCTGAGTCCAGACTATAAATGCAGCCGCTGGCAGAAGCAGCCTGTGCTGAAAACTGGGAGCCAGGAGCTGGGCCGCCGGCACTGCAGCGCAGGCCTGGGGCAGGGCCAACCTCTGCTCCCCAAAGGGACCAGGAAAATTGGGGGGGTGAGTTGCACACTCTCAGATGCCAGGGGGGCCCCGAATGAGGACAGTTTCCAGTATGCAGAGTCCCTCCTTTGCCTTCCTCACAGAGCCGTAGAACCTGGAGGCTCTAGCTTACACCTACACATATAAACACTCACACAGCCACACAAACACCCATGCACCCACGCACATGAACCACGCATAAACACACACACACATATACCCACACATACACGTGTAAAAACCCACACATCCATACAAACACCCACACACACATATGTGCCCACACATACACACGTAAGCATATGCATACACCCACACATCCACACCTCCCTCCACATCCACAGCCCCCCCCACATCCACACCCCCACACAAGTGTGCGCATGGAACCAAACGCGTTCTGTCTGGCTTCCGGCCGGGGGCCCTCAGAGCTCCAGGTTTGGTCACAGCGCAGAGGAGGCACCTTTGCCTTCCCTTCAGCCAGCCCAGGGCAGGACAGCACCAACCCCGATGAGGCTGGGCTTCCATGCTGGGAAGTGAGCTGCTCCCAAGGGCTCCCCGGACCTCAGGCTTCACAAGAAGGAGCGCTCAGACCCCTGGCCAGAGCTGGATGAAGTGTGGTCCTTGCTCAGGGTGTGGCCCCTCTGCCCAGGCCTGGGGTGGGTGTTTTGAGGGGAGGGGGAAAGCGGGGGACACCCGGAAACCTGACTCTGGGAGGTCGCGGGCCAGCGATTGTCTCTGGATGAAGATGCACTGGGTGGGCAGCAGAGGGGCAGGGAGGCTGTTCCTGGAAGTGACAGGATGTGCCCGGCCCAGGACTCATTACTGGGAAGGAGCAAGGAAGCCACAGAAGGGGGTGGGCTCCGGAAGCCTGCGCGTCCTTACACTTGAGAACCACATTTCCTGGCTGCTCCTCTGCTAGAAATCCCCATGGGCCCCGCCCTAGGAAAGCAGCCCCTTGGCTGTGGAGCTCACTTCCCTCCCAGGAATCCCCTTCCTGTGCAGGTGAGCTCAGCAGATCCATGGCAGGTAGAGACCTGGCCCAGGTCCCAAAACTCTAGTGGGAACTCTGGCCTCATCATTCCCCATCTAGTGCTTTTCAGCACATTTTCACGACCTGCCCGGGAAGGAGGCGGGGAGGAGGCCCAAGAGCAAACTCAGGTACGAGTGTTCCCTGGGGAACCTTGGAGGGTCTCGGCCGATCCTCGCAGCCTCACACCCCTGGTCCGTCCCTGCACCCTCACTGAGGGGCCTCCTGGGCCCCAGACCACGTGCTACGTGCACGTGCCTTTGTGGGCCTCACACACTGGGACAGAGCGGTAGGGTCCTGATGCCCTGCACAAGAGCTTGCTGGTAGCCTTCTGATCATCTTCTGGAAGGCATGCAGTGTGGCATTGGTTCCCCATTGCCATCTCAATTCTTCCCACATTGTAGAAATGGATGCCTTTCTTTTTTTTTTCCTAAAATATCCAATCTTAAAAGAGATTTTTGGGGGCAGGACAGGACCTTTTTTGTACCCGCCACAAGCAAGTGCCTGGCTTGAGGGCTCAGCCCTCTGAGCTCCAACCTGGCACGTGGCTATGAGCAAAAAGGGAATGTGGGCAAGGGTCGGGTGTCTGGGTTCTAGTTCCAGGTTTGCCACCACCTGGCTGTGTGAGCTCGGGCAAGCCCCTTAGCCTCTCTGTTCCCTCTCCCTTCCCTGTTAGATGTGTATGCCTTGTTCACCTCCTAGCATATGCAGTTATGAGGTTCAAATGAGATTATGTAGCTGAAAATACAAAGAAACGTGTGCCTTGCCCTGTGCACATCACCTCAGACTGCGAAGGAAGCCAGTGGGCCAGTAAGGAGTTGCCTTGCTTATTGTTTGTCTCATTGATTTTCTCCTGCCTGGCAGTACTTAGAGATCTTCCTTTCCAGCTTACTAGAGCCCAGGGCCAGTGGGGAGAGCCCCAGGTCCCTGCAGGCCGCCCAGTCTCGGGGCCAGGTGCCTGCGGTCCAGACCTCTCGAGCCAGCAGACCTGCTGTAAGCAATTCCAGGAAGGCAGCTTTGCTCTCTGCCTCTTGGGGCTTGAATCTCCCCCACCCGTTCCCGTATCTTATCTCGTGAGCCGCTGGGCTGCTGCAGGTGCTCCAGAGCTCCCATTGTGGGGTCTGAGAGCCAGTCCTGGGACGGGCAAGGGAAACGGGGCCTGTCTTGGGGTGTCCTGTTCACCCCAGACACTAGGGCAGACCCTCCCTCTGCAATAAGAGCCTGTTGCCCCAGCTCTTCCACTGGCCCCTCATTAGTCAGTTGTTATTATCCCTGTTTTACAGCTGAGAAAATTGAGGTTCAGACTTGCCCAAGGCCATGCAGTAAATAAATGGGAGAGCTGGCCCCATGCCCTTTTCCTTAGTGGGTCCAGTACATGCCTTTCAGCTGCTCCCCTTGCTGGATATACATAAGCCGAGTCCAAGGAGTAATACCATGCCCATCCTGGGGACTGCTAGGCTCTGAATAGCCAAGAGCAGGAGGCTGAGCTTACAGGAGGCCCATGGAGTCCTTCCTTGGTTCTCAGGGTCCCGGCAGCCACCCCTGGGAGAAAGAACCTGACGTTACTAACTCTGCAATTCGATAGCAGCTTGCTGGAGCCTGCAGACTTTGCAAGAGGAGGAGCACAAATAGGAGACCTCTGTGCTTACAAAACCCTGAAAAGGACAGCCACCTGCTGTCCTCAGGCAGGAGCAGTCTTCACAGAGGCACCCACATCCAAGGGGTTGCTTTTCTAGGGTGGGGCCTGTTTAAGACGGTGGCCTGAGTCTTCTTTCTTCCATCTACTCTTCATCCATTTTGTTGTATGTACTCTCCACCGTCACACCTCCGGCCTTAGAAGCAGGGCATTGTGAACCGAGAAAGGAAGTTCAAAGACATTCCAGTCCAACCCCCTGGCTTGACAGGCAAAGAGAGGAAGAACCAGAGAGGGGAGGCTGCTTGGCCAGCAACACACAGCAAGTTAATGGCTGAAACTAGAGATGGTCTTTCCCAGGCCAGTGCTCCTCAGGGGCTGCCTTCAGAGCACACCCCTCTCACGGAAACTGGAGCTTGTAGGTTCTTTGTAAAGGGGGCGGAGCAACAGGAACAGCCAAGGTCACACGCAGTTGCACCTGCATCCTTTTTTTAAAATTGGATCCTCACGACAACCCCATGGCAGGGTCTGGTGGGTTCCAATTCAGAAACCAGACAACTGAGGCCCAGGGATGACTTGTTTCCTGTCCCTGGGACGTAAGAAGCAGAACATGACTCACATTTCAGTTTTGTTCAGCAACGGCTGATCAAACGCTACTGTGTGCAGGGCGCCATGCCAGGTGCAGGAACAGCGCAAGCGCAGAAGGATGGGCAGGCCCCTGCCCAACTCCCCGTGTGTGTGTGGAAGGTGGGGATGACTCATCCTGACAATTCTCACGGGAGACCAGAAAGGCATGCATCTGCCTGAGTCCATGAGAAGGGGCACCTGACCCTGCCATGGGGACAGGAACGGGCCGGGGGCCATCCTGTTCTGGCAGCACTGACCTAGTGCTGTCACTGTCCGCCCAACTTGGATCACAGCGATTTGCCCCTACCACCCTCCAAGCCTCCACAGCCCAAGCCTCCTGTTGCATGGCTGGTGCCATCAGGGATGAAGAGAGATGGGAGGTGGGGTGGGGGCGGGGACTCTTTTCCTGCTGCTTCTCTGGCCCCTGTGCTTTCCCCAGCTTGTGGAGGTGTAGCTACAGTGGTGGACTTGGGGTTGGAAGACCTGACTTCTGGTCCTGGCTCTGACCCTACCGCTGCATAACCCTGGGAACGTCTCTCACCCTCCTTGAGCCTCCATTTCCTTGTCAGTAAAGTGCCCAGCGCTGGCTGCGCTGGCTGCCTGACCAACACTGAGTGTCTGGTGTGCTGAGGCCCAGGGCTGACGTCTGCTGTACCGGGGGAGGGAACAGTAGCATGCTTTTCCCCGCTGCCCTCCCCGTGGCCTGCACACCCCAGCTACGGTCCTTGTCAGGCCAGATTTGGGACTAGGTCTGAGAAGCATGCCAGAGGCCAGAGCCCTGCCACCCTCCCCAGCTACCAGAAGGGCCAGCTGGCTGGTTCCAGGCACCAGAGCAGCAAAACCGTGGCCTGTTTCCTGGGGTGAGGTTTGGGGAGGGGGGTGAGGTAATCCTGATTTTCTGAGCCCCCATCCCCCTTCCTGCCCACGGTTCTGACAGACTGCCTTTGGGAGATTAGTGTGCCAGTCTCCGGGGCTGTGCCAAAGGGAAGACTAAAAATAGCCAGAAGCTATGCCTGGTGTGGCGTAGGGCTTTGAGCAGGAGAGCAGGTGCAGGCTGCAGGCCCACCTGGAAGGGGAATACACAGGGCCCCCTGAGCCGCTGGCTGGCCTGCATGCTGGGGAGGGGAGCGGAGGGGAGGGGGAGAAGAATGCTGCAGGGCTGCCCTCATGGCATCTGCAGGGAGTTCCGAGCCCCATCGACCAGGTCCAGCCCTGGCCCCACCCCTTGCTGGCTGGTTGACTCTCACCTCATCTCTGTACCCCAGTTTCCTCTCTGGGAAGTGGGAATGGTACTCCTCACTCCACCTACGTCAGAGGGTGTTGTGAGGGTAAACTGAGGTCATGATGTAAACATCTTGCCAGCCAGAGCAAGCATCGAATCTGAGGTTAGAGAACTAGTTAGGTACTATGTCCCTCTGCTGCCTCCTACAAGCAGGGTGGTCCTGGCTGAGTCGCCATGTGACCGTCTCCAGGTGGCACTAACAATGTCACTACCTCTTCACTGGGCAGAGCCTGGCACCCAAAGCCCTTTCCTGGGCCCTGACCCTTAATGGAAAGGTCCATTTCCTTGAATGAAAAAACTAAATAGGAATAGTGATGTTAATTATAATTAGCAATTATTGAGCAGCTACTATATGCTGGCCTTCAAGTGTATTTCGTTGTTATAATTCTATTAATTAGGTACTATTAGTATGCCCACTGATAGATGGAAACACACTGACTCAGAGACATAGAATGACTTGCTCAAGGCCGAATAGTGAAAATCGCGGAGGAGTCAAGATCTGAACCCAGAACTGACTCCCAAAATGGTGTTATTTCAACTGCACCTGGTTCTTCTCCCCAAAACTGTAACCTGTGCCCCAAATCCCTGACTGTCTCTCTGCCGGCAGGATATGACTTTGCCGCTGTCCTTGAGTGGTTCGCTGAGCGGGTTGACCGCATCATCCTGCTTTTTGATGCCCATAAGCTGGACATCTCTGATGAGTTCTCAGAAGTCATCAAGGCCCTCAAGAACCATGAGGACAAGATGCGGGTGGTGCTGAACAAGGCCGACCAGATCGAGACCCAGCAGCTGATGCGGGTGTATGGGGCTCTCATGTGGTCCCTGGGAAAGATCGTGAACACCCCAGAAGTGATCCGAGTCTACATCGGCTCCTTCTGGTCCCACCCGCTTCTCATCCCCGACAACCGGAAGCTCTTTGAGGCTGAGGAGCAGGACCTGTTCAAAGACATCCAGAGTCTGCCCCGAAACGCTGCCCTACGTAAGCTCAATGACCTCATCAAGAGAGCCAGGCTGGCCAAGGTGAGGCTTCCCCTGGGGGGTGGGACAGCATATTTGGGTTTGGGGGTCCAGCTGCAAGAGCTTCCTGCAGCCCTGAGCATTGCCTGTCCATGTGAATATGTCCTGTAGCTACTGTGTCATGAGCATCAGCTGTGCCAACACTGGTGGCCGGGGGGCAGGAGAGTGTGGCAGTTATGATGACAGGTCCTGGAGTCAGATGGCCAGACTGGAGCTGAATTTCACTGTTTACACACTGTGTGATCCCCACCCCAGCAAGGCCCCCCGTCTCTCTATGCCTGTTTCTGTGCCTATAAAATAAAAAAGATTGGAGGATACAGTAGAATAAAGGATGTAAAAGCCTTCTCGCCGTGCCTGTATCCTCAGAAGGGCTCAGCAAACATTAGCTATCGTTTTTGTCTTCCTCATCAACATCATCTCCAGTGTTGCCATCCCTGTTACTGCCTTGACCTTAACCTCCCCACAATCTCACCTTTGCCATGAGATCTAGAAAAACAGCTCAGCGCTGCAAGCAGTGTGAGAGAGCAAGAGGGTGGAGATAGAAACTATTTCTGAAGTAGGAGCAGGAGGAGGAGGGGTTTATGGGAAGAGATGGGTGAGAGCCACCGAGAGGGACGGAATGAATCGAGGCCTTGATCTGAAGCAGTCTCGATGCCCTGTTTCTCAGGTCCACGCCTACATCATCAGCTCTCTGAAGAAGGAGATGCCCTCCGTGTTCGGGAAGGACAACAAGAAGAAGGAGCTGGTGAACAACCTGGCCGAGATTTACAGCCGGATCGAGCGGGAGCACCAGATCTCACCTGGGGATTTTCCCAACCTGAAGAGGATGCAGGTAACCAGGACCTGGGGCTCTAGGACAAGGGACAGTGTCACATGAGCTGGCTGAGCAGCCTAAGAATGCAGGAGGCCACCCAGGGAGATGGCCATAGGTCAGTCCTCTCTGCTCGACTGTCACTGGCCCAGCAGGTGTCATATCTGAGTTTGGGGAGAAATAGGGAGCCCCAGCGATCTCAGTGGGACAGCGTGTCCCATGGTGTTTGGGGCTTGGTACCTGCAGTTTATGACCTTTCCAAGTCACAGCCATCATATCACCCAGTGAAGATTCTCCAGGTACTCAAGTACTTGTATTTACCTCCGAGTCCCTCCTGAGGAATGACCAGGGGCATACGCCATGAGGAGTTTGCACAGGAGCTTGCCGTCTTAGGAGCCCACTGGGGGCCCCTCTCTTGAGCCAGGGACCGTCACACACTGTTTCTCAAGCTCTTCCCCAAAGCAGTCCTCTTAGGAGGCATTTGCACCCTCCTTATACACATCAGCTAACTGAAATTTACCAAGGTAATTAACCTTTGCAATTAATTGCCTGTGGTTTTCTGAGTACAGGGTCACATAGACTTCTAGTAAAAAAGCCAGGAGCTGTCCCCACGGTCCAAGCAAGAAGCCACCTCGCTGTACTAACTGAATCCTCTCTGATTCTCTGTCTCTTTGTCTATAAACTGAGGCTCCAGAAGCACCCAATTACGGATGTTGTGAGCATCCCTGAGATACTATCTACAAGGTACTCAGTACAGAGCCTGGTACAGACTATCCTGGAAATGAAGTAGCAAGTTATGTAGGACGTCACCACCGGGGGAAGCTGGGCAATGAGCAATGGGAACCTGCCTATCCGTACCATTTTTGCAACTTTTCATGATTCTGTACTTATTTCAAAATATAGTGTTTTTAAAAATTGGGGAATTAGAGAAAAATAGCAGCAGATGTAGCAGAGATACTGATTTTTCTCTTGCTGCCAACTTTGATCCAGAACTCCCTATAGTCCCAAATAGGCATTTTAGTTTCCTATCTGATTAAAAAAAATAATAAACATTCAGAATACACATTTTTTATGTATCCATTCATTCCTATAAACATGTAGCATGAGCCAGCCACTAATTTGAGAAATGCTTTAACATAATTTGTGTTTCTCAGTCAGCTGTGGCCTGGAACATGTCAACTTTTAGTTTCTCTTTCTGTTAAGAATTTAATGATCTGTAAACAAACATTTGGGATGATGACGTTTGAAAGGGGCTATACAATCCCTTTTGTAATGCAAGGAATTCTTTCACAGCATAAATTGTTTCACCTGCTGTTGTTAGGCATGCTAAACCAATCATGTACGTGGCTGTCCTTTGGGGGAATGTGGGGGACACACCCACTGTGCCCTGGACGATACTGGGACCCAGGGTTGGGAACCCACCAAACACACCTGGCTGTGGACAGAGACACCAGGGACCTCCCAGGGGCTGGCCCGCTCCTGCCCTTGCTGCCCTCTCCCCGCCCCCACCGCCCTGGTTCAGCCTGTCCTTGAAGGCTGGTAAGAAACGCCCAAGCTAACACTTGCTCTTGAAATGTAGCAGTGGGTGTTTTTGGAATTTTTCTGTAGTGAACTCGATGTGCTTGTCCTCAAGACTATCCCCTGTGCGCTGGCCTCTGCCCAGTGTCCTGAGGTTGCTATTACCTGGGCCAGAGCAGGAGCAGAAAGTTCTCCCCTTGTCACTACCAAGGCCCAGGAGAAACTGGGTGTTCTGAACTCAGGACCTTTCAGAGTCACAAAGACACACAAAGTGGAGCTTATTTCTCTTACCGTGTGGCGGGGGTGTCCCCAGAAGGCCAGGAGAGGAGCTTTTACAAAAGCTGCGTGCCCGCCTGGGTCTGCTGTGTCAGAAACCTCAAGAGAGGAGCCAATCATTGAAAAGTCTCTCCAGGTAATTCCGATGGGCATCCTGATTAAGAACAGCTGGTTTGGGGTTGCCCCTTGGCTCCTTTGATGACTTGGTTGCCTTTGCCTCAGCTTTGTCTTCCCTAAGGGGGATAGAATATGATTTCCCTTCCTCAGAAGGGCAATAGAGGAGCAAATAACATAATGTAGGAAAAGCACTTTCAGTGTTTTTCAAGTATAACCCTTATTAAAGGAGAGAGACCCACCTGCTTCATCTCTTTCTTTCCCAGCCCCTGAAACTGTCCTGCTCTCTCCTGAAAAAGTCCAATATCAACACAGTGAGCCTTTTTTCCTCCTCCTCTCTCATATCATTTATAATTATGATGTGGTTCAGTTTAGCCTCCAGGCCAAAGGACTGTGAACAACCGAGCATTAGTAGAAGGCAGTCTCCCCAGCTCCTTCCGTCGACTTCTACCCTCACCTTCTTTTCTCCCCTCCCCCCAGGACCAGCTGCAGGCCCAGGACTTCAGCAAATTCCAGCCCCTGAAAAGCAAGCTGCTGGAGGTGGTGGATGACATGCTGGCCCACGACATCGCACAGCTCATGGTGCTGGTGCGCCAGGAGGAGACGCAGCGGCCCGTCCAGATGGTGAAGGGTGGAGCGTTCGAGGGCACCCTGCACGGCCCCTTTGGGCATGGCTACGGGGAGGGGGCCGGGGAGGGCATCGATGACACCGAGTGGGTCGTGGCCAAGGACAAGCCCATGTACGACGAGATCTTCTATACCTTGTCACCCGTGGATGGCAAGATCACGGGTGCCAATGCCAAGAAGGAGATGGTGCGCTCCAAGCTGCCCAACAGTGTGCTGGGCAAGATCTGGAAGCTGGCTGACATCGACAAGGACGGCATGTTGGATGACGAGGAGTTTGCACTGGCCAACCACCTCATCAAGGTCAAGCTGGAGGGGCATGAGCTGCCCAACGAGCTGCCCGCCCACCTCCTGCCCCCATCCAAGAGGAAAGTCGCCGAGTGATGGGAGCAGGGGGAGATGCAGAGCGGGCAGGTGTTACAGGAAATGGGAGAGGCAATCACAGACACACACACACACACACACACACACACACGGGCACAGATCTTGAGAACCGCACTTCAGATGAGGGGGATCCGTGATCCCCAGGTTTCCAGGCTGATCTTTGTTTGGACACAAGTTGTCAGCATTGGTAGAAGCACAGGGCACGCCCAGGACTCCAGCTCTCAAGCTTCGGTCTCTAGCCCTCTCTCCTTTCCGTCTTCCCCTATCTTCTGCAGAGGCAGTTAGTTCACTTGCCCACAGATGGCCCGCCCACCTCCAGATACCCTGGACTCAGGACAGATGGAAAAACTTCTGGCTTAATAGGCAATTCACTTTGTTTTCTGAGCTTTCTCTCCGTCTTTGGCTTCCTACTTTGAAATCTGCTCTGGGGCTGAGAGGTGTACGGGCAGGGAGAAGAGGCATCCTCGGGGAGCCAGGTTCCAGCCTTGAAGAGACGTGGCGCTAGACTCTGTCCTTCCCCCAGCTCAGGCTCTGTCTCCCTCGGCAAGCCTGGCTTTGAACCCCACTGACACTTCATCTCCAAGAACCCCAGTGAGGGAAAGAGAGTTGGAAAACTGGCAGGAAAGAATGCAAAGAAACTGCCTTGTCATCCTCTCCTCAAAGCCAGTCGAGGTGGTTTCACTCTGCAGATCTTGTGAGATTCGTGTGTTTTCTACCTGGCCTCTGATGTGTGGATGCTCGGGCTCGACTCACACTTATCTAGCCCCTCCTGTATGCCAGGGCGACTTCATCCCACGTGGCCCTCACCACCCGCCAAGGGAGTATGCATTAGTCTCCTCCCCCCCATTTTTCAGGTAATGAGTCTGAGACTCAGAGTTTGACCTTCCCAAAGTCACAGAGGTGAGAGGATTCAGGGCTTGGGCCCCGCTCCTCCCTCTGCCGTGAAGATGTGTGCGGGGTCCCAGCGTTGCTCGCCCACGAGCACCCATGCAGAGCAGGCCCAGCTTGCAGGCCCCTCAGCTTCCCAAAGCTGGTGGGCGAGGGAGAAGGGCCAGCCGGCATTTGGTGGGCCATCAGTCTGGCCATCTGTCACATCACAGAAGCAAACCGTGCCTTCTGGCTATGCGCCCCATGTCCCTAAAATTGCAGAAGTCCAACAGCGCCAGCAGGAGAGTGCGCCCCCCTGCTGGATGCCGTTCATGTCTGTCCTGCTCCGCCTCCCACCCGGCAGCTGAGTCACCCAGCTCACGTGCAGCCACTGACTCAGAGGGCCAACCTGAGAGGGCTGAGGTGGTGTCCTCCACAGGACTCCCAGTAACGCCCGTGTCCTTGACAAATCGCCACCATGCTTGGTTACCTGCCCCCTCCCCCATGGTGTCTCCCCTGGCTTGCTTCATGGACACTGAACCGATCACTTTGTATGCTATGCTCCTACTGTGATGGAAAAGAAAAACCAGTATAACTTATTTTATATCTATGTTCAGACTCTATAGAGAATATTCTATGTATCTATGATGTGCTCACTACTGTAGTGCATTTGTCATTAGTGTTCATGTTAATACAGCACATTTATCCTTTGGTACCCAGTTGACCACAGAGCATCAGTCTATGGGAGTTCAAGGGGGAGGGGCTGGGTTCTTTCCTGAGATTCGCAGTAGCCCCTTTGGCAGAGGACTGGGCAGCCCTTGCATCCACACGCAGCGTCCCATTGGCCTGCTGACTACCCAGTGATGACAGGCTACCCTTGTGGAACCACCGCTCCCTGCCACTCTGGAGTGGAGACGATCCCCAAACCTCTGGGCTCCCTTCTGCATCCACATGTTCCTCTTAAGAAATGAAGGGCAAGGGAAAGCCAAGGCAAAGAGGTCTAGCCTCTAACTCAGGTGCCAAGCCCAGCGGAGACTGTCGGCTCTGCGCCTTTCTTTGAGCTGAAGGAAAATAGAGGGGAGACAGCAAGGAGGGGTGAAGTTTCTGTCATTTTATTTTAGGAGGAAGAGGGTGTCTTTGCCGCGCCCCCCCCCCCCCCCCGCCGCCCCACCGCCACAGGGACACACACACTGCTGTCCTGCCCCACCTCTCCCTGCCTCTCTTCCCTCCCTTCTCCAAGGCTCCATGCCCCGCCCTCCCCTGGAGAGATCTTTGAGGCAGGAAACCTCTGTCTTGGCACTTTTCCCATCTCCCAAGAAAGAGGAAGTGGTGCCTCCTACCAATGGCTGAGAGGACAGCTGCGGGTCACTTTCTCTGGGGCTGTCCCTCTGTCTCTTGCAGCCTCGGCCTCCTGACCTTTTGCTGGCTCTGGGGGCCCGGGGTTAGCTCGTGCCTCGGCCTGGAAAATAATCCAGAAAGCAGAGGCACATCCTGGCAGGCTCCTAGGCAAGAACTCCCGCTGCGCCGTGGCTCCTGACCCCACACGACTCAGTCGGGGGCACAGAAGTCACCAGATACGAAGAGCGAAGCAACACTTGGCCCCACTGCCCCAGGAAGGCCTGCCCTGGCACTGAGAGCTAAGTCATGACCAATGTCTCGCTGTGGACAGGGGCACTGCTGGTCAGAGCAGGGCTTGGGTCTCAGTTGGCAGAGCAGTGAGAGGCTGCCCTGAGTCATCCCCATTTCGTTTGTGACCTCTGTTTGCAGAGCTTGCATTTATGTGTTAGCTAATTAGAATTAGCAGAGCCTCCTGGGGAGACTCGGCTTGTTTCTTTTTCCTATGAAATGTTAACTGGTCTCTATACATAGTCAATTCTTTTTTTTTTTATTGGCAAAAATTGTTGTTCCCAATTTTTACTGTTGTTACAGTTGTCCCAATTTTCCTGCTCTCTAATCCAAAGAAGGTGGAATTTTATACAAAATTAAACACAGCACTCCAGCGCACAGAATCATGACAGACTAAGAACCACTGATGTTTTTGAGGAAAAGCATGATCAGAATTTTGCCTCTGGGGACTGGGCTGGCTTTTCACGGCCATTTTCAAGTAAAAATGTTATCAGTATCTTTAAAGTGGAACTTTTCAGTGCCTGGAGGAAAAGTAAAATGGTGGTAGGGGAATGTAAGTTATTCCTCCGGAGCAGGAGGGGGATGGGAGGGTATAAGGGGCGTGCTCTCCCCTCCACCTCCCATTGGAGGTAATGGGCTGGTCACCACATTTGGACCGTCCGGTCCTTCTGGCTCGGGGGAGGATGGAACTTTCTACCCCTTGAAGCGAGGTGAGCTGTGTGACTTGCTTTGGCTAGTAGAATATGAGTGAAGCCACATGCCCCTTCTTTGTAGAAATAGGCATGCTGTTTGCCACTTTTTGCATGTGGGAGCACGTGTGACAACAGAGCCTTGGCCGGCCGAAGTCCCTGGGTCACTCTGAAGTCCCTGACCGACCACACTAGACAGGTGGCATGAACAAGATGGAAACCCCGGTCACTTTAATGTTTGAGCCACTGAGTGCCGTGGGCTATTTATCACCCAGCATTCCCCAGACTATCACAACCAAAAAACCGGGTAAATTCTTCCAAGAGCAAGTGCAAAGGGAACACATTCTAGGAGACTGAGTTTCTGCCTTCTGAAAAGCCAAAGCCACCTGAAGCTGCAGTCACAGGGGATTTGCACAAAGTCCTTTCGTGTCTGAGCCATATTCTGTAATGTCCCAGAACTAGCCCTTCAACATCACTTTTTAAACTGAATAACTTTGCACTAATGGAATCAAACACTGATACAACTTGTCTCCCCCTGCAATAATATAGATACTGGGCATCGACCAGGCATTTGTCTGCCTTGCCCAGAAACAGAGGGTAGAGAGGTCAGAAAGAGAAAAACTACAATTCCCGAACCCCCTTGCAGCCAGGTTCAGGGTGTGGTTTCAGGTCCCGCCAATGAGATGCACCCACGGTGGGGAGTTTGCTGAAGCAGATCACGCCAGAGGCAGACCCAGCACCTGACGCAAGGCCTCCCTGACTTTGCAGCTTTCCTTCTGTGCTCAAGAAGCTGGAGGTATTTTTAGTGAGGTCATCTGGGGCAGCGGCCTGCACTAGGGACAGCCCTGTAAATAACCGCAGGTCACCTCGCGTGCCTACCTAACCACGGTGCCCGAGCACTGCTGAGATGTGCAGAGGGAACCTGGCTGCAGCGGGGAGGGATCGTGAAAGGCGGTGTGTCCGGGTGTGCGTGCATGTGCGCGCACGTCTGTGTGTGTTGGGAGCACGCGATGAAGCGGTTCTTGCCGGTAAGTGAGGCGGAGCAGGTCTGGCGGGGCTCAGCAGAGAGAATGATGGCTGGGGCGCTTTCAAAGCAATAACCCCTCTCTGATCATCCAGAGAGTACCCATGTGTCCACTTAGAACACTTGAGACTAAAATAAGGCCATGTTACAAATTGCAGTTCTACTTCCTGCCTTCGAATTTCATGCGGGATGGTCCCTACCCCACCCCAGGGAATGTCATGGAGGCAAAAGGGTGGCAACCCTGGCCTGAGGGCAGATCCGCACGGGACACCATCCCCACACAGCGTTACACAGGGAAGGACTGGAAGGTGCCAGGACTGGGAAAATCAGGCTGCCTGAAGTCCAGCGTCAGGGCCAGCCACGTGGCCGCTCTGTGTCTCCGTTCACTTTTCCCCTAAATAAAGATCATTTCAATCTTTTGGAGACAGTGTAAGGATACAAAGAGACAATAGAGGGGAAATGTCCCTAATTACAGAAACAGTGCACACAGGTGAGGCACCTACGGAAGAGTCATGGTTCAGGAAAGAAGAGGTGAGAGTCTTAGCTACAGAAGGAAGCAACACGAGCAAGCCCAGCAAAGGGAAGGAGAACGGAAGGAGAGCTGTGGGGGTCTGGGGAGGGCAGTGCTGAAGCTGCTGGGATCCCTGAGAGGTGCTGGAGGCCTGGAGTCCCCCGTGGGTACCTGCAGGCCCTGGCGCACCGCGGGCACTGCCGCCTGAGTCAGTGTGCAGCCCGGAGTCCCTGCCCAGCCTCTGCGCCACCGTGACCTGGGGCTGACAGTGGGGCCGACAGTGGGGCCGACAGTGGGGCCGACAGTGGGCTGTGAACACTCAGAGCACACTCGTCAGGGCGGATTTGCGACAGAGGGGAGAGGTGAC